CTGCTAGGGACTAGGACTTTTGCTAAGGTTTGGAAATTCATTTGACCAATCAGGCTTTGAATCCTAAATATAGCTGACCCAAACTACAGATCTAACAGAGGGATTTTAAATAATTTTGAATCTAATACTAGGGGGAATCAGAGTGCTGGAAAATATTATTGTCAACCCAAATTTATAGAGAACATCTTGATATAGCCTAAGCCAGAAGATTTATAGATTTAGTATGAGTCCCAGACTGGGTGATAAGATGGTAAGAGAGAACCTCTATAGAGAACTTCGTATTACTAAAATTAATAGTTGGAGAAGCTGAATATTAACTGTGCTTTCTACTAGTAGTTTTTTTTATTTGTTTGCAGTTCATTCAGAATTCATCCACTATGTAAGAAAATAGCTGAAAGAACTAAGGAAGAGAATAATGGGATTATGAAAGAACTCTATTTAATAAATCCTTAACTGATTTCAAGAGAAAAGGTTACCACTGGTAAATTGTGATCACTTTCTGGTTTTCCCCTATGGGACATTCATCTTAGGCTGATAAACATTTATGTCAAACAGTGTTCTGGCCATCAGAATAGTGATTCAGAAAGAAAAGAGACTGTTCTTGTCCTCAGATATGTTAGAGGCTTTAGTGGGAGAGACTAGATACATGAATAGATGTGTAGATGAATAGATGCTTTCATTCTGATAGGCATTGCTTTCATAATAGAGGGAGGAGCCAGTTTTGAAATGTTTAGGTGATGAAACTGGTTACAGTGATTGATGGAGCATTATTGGTTAAGAAGAGAGAAGGCAATTTCTAGATTTCCGGTGTAGATGACTCACTGAGGGAGGGGTAATAATATTTCACAATTGTGATTATATTTGTGAAGGCTGACAGGGAAAATCAGTTATTTTAGTATAATTCACATGGTTCTTACGATGTCCAAGTGGTAACAGTATAATTCTGGGTAAAGGATTCCAGCTCAGCATTCAGACCACTCATGGGTAAAACTGTGCTGTCCTACTTAACTAATTTAGCTGAGGATAGTGACTCCACATAGGAGTTGTGAAAGTGAAAAGAAATAATGTGTGTTAACCACTTAACATAGTAGTAACAGATAATAAGTCCTTAGTATTATGTTAGAGTTTAGTCATAAATATGTATTTATGACCCAGGAGAGGGCACAGTTGTACATGCAGTTCTGAGAGTCACTAATAAGCAAGTTTTTGGGGTTTTTTTTGGGTCCGGTTGTGGGGCCTGAACTCTGGGCCTGGACGCTGTCCCTCATCTCTTCAGCTCAAGGCTAGCGCTCTACCACTTGAGCCACAGTGCCACTTTTGGTTTTTTTCTTTTTTGCTTATGTGGTGCTGAGAAATCAAACCCAGGGCCTCATGCATGCAAGGCAAGCGCTCTACCACTAAGCCACCTTCCTAGCCCCTAATGAGCAGGTTTAAAAAAATGACAGTAGGTAAGATTCCTATCATATCAAGAATGGACCCTTGAGAAAAATTGTGAACCAGGGGATGAGCAGGGAGGATAAAGTCCAATACAAAAGAAAGTATGATTATTGTCGGCATATACAAGTTTTGTTTGTACACACAGTACTTGTTGCTTGTCTTGTAAAGCCTTACAAATCTTATAATTGGAGAAATAATTATCTTTAAGGATAGACTTCACATGGACTTTTTCTTTTTTGGGGGGGCCCGGTCATGGGGCCTGAACTCTGGGCCTGGGCACTGTCCCTCAGCTCAAGGCTAGCGCTCTACCACTTGAGCCACAGCGCCACTTCCGGCTTTTTTCTTTTTGCTTTTGTGGTGCTGAGGAATCGAACCCAGGGCCACGTGCATGCAAGGCAAGCACTCTACTAATGAGCCACCTTCCCAGCCCGGACTTTTTCTTTTTTAAATTGCCTGTACTGAATACTGAGGCTTGAAGACAATCCTGTTCTCTTAGCTTGTTTTACTACTCAAGTCATGCTCTTTGCTAGTTAGCAATAGATTCTCTTGGACTTTTTGGTCCATATGGACTTTAAACAACAATCCTCTAGGTCTCAGCCTTCTGAATAGCTGGGATTTCACTGCCACCATCTTCTTTAAAACAAATTTCCTATTTAGTTAGTAACCCTTCCTTTTAAAACTAGCTGCTGGGGCTGGGAAGGTGGCTCAGTGGTAGAGTGCTTGCCTTGCATGCCTGAGGCCCTGGGTTCGATTCCTCAGCACCACATAAGCAAAAAGAAAAAAGCT